TTCCCAACTCTGTTACCGTTATTATTATAATTATAACTCAGAGTCCACAAGGATTGAGGAGACGGATAAACTGCATGTATAAATTAATACCAACCTTTCAACCTTGGCAACTTTGAAATACCTAAGACTTCAACTCCCAGAGTTTATGGTGGCCGGGGAATTCTGGCAGTTGAAATCTAGACACCGTAACGTGGCTTGGGTTGAGAAACAAGCTGGAAAACATGCATTTTGTTCCAGCCAATACCTTGTTTTATTGCCTTTCTCTTTATTATGTTTAGTTATTTTTACAAGACCCTCCACCAGCAAAACGATTACGACTCGTTGAAGGCTCCAGTGAGGCGTAACACTTTTTAGCAATAAAGTATTTTTTACTTAAGACAGGTCTGGGTTTTTTTTTTTTAAAAAAAAAGCACAATGCTATTGCACGCTTTAATAGACGACAGTATAGCATACCCATCATTTTTATATGCACTTCGAAATCAAAACATTTGTCTGCCTCACTTTATTGCAATATTTGCTTTTATTGCATTGATCCAGAACAAAACCAGCAAGATCTTTGACACAGGCCTGGAATTTTGTCCTTGTTGCAGTTGGAGGATTAATGCTAGCCCAAGATGAGCTGTTCCCTCGGTCCAGCTCTTATGTTCTTAAATACGAGGGTAATACGGTTGAAGAAGGAATGCTGCCGATAAGATAATAAGAACACATGTGGAAGGGGGTGGTTTTTTTTTTATTTGTAATTAAAAAAAAATAGAGGGTTTGCAATGCTGCCTTTAGTCAGCTCGGCATAAAAAAAATGAAGTGAAGACTCTGGAACAGTGATTTTGTTGTTGCGTCTCCAATGTGATTCATTCATCCCGATTGGGACCCCAGGCCAAGTAGCAGACTCAGATCTTCAGGCCCTTATATGGAAAGTCAGAAATTTTGTTTTGTTTTGTTTTTTTAAATTTGATTTATATGCCGCCCTTCTCCGGAGACTCAGGGCGGCTTACAATGCGCTAAGCAATAGCCTTCATACTTTTGTATAGTTATACAAAGTCAGCTTATTGCTCCCACAAACTGGGTCCTCAATTTACCTACCTTAGAAAGGATGGAAGGCTGAGTCAACCTTGAGCCTGGTGAGATTCGAACCTGCAGTAATTGCAGGCAGCTGGTCTTAATAACAGGGTGCTTTAGACCACTGTTCTACCAAGGTGCCAATCTCACCTTGGTTGTGGGGGTGGGGTTGTAAAATGTTCCAAAAGGGGGAAAGACACAGCAGAAAAGGCCCTTCTCCTGGATTCCACATCAGTTCAAATTTCTTTGACTGACGTGGTCTGCAGCATGTGTCTCTTCTGTTGGCACAGATGAGTTGGGCCAATTCCATTGGGGTGGGACGGTCCCTCAAATAATAACCTAGCCCCATGCCAAGCAGGGCTTTAAAGCTGACAACCATCACCTTGAATTGGACCCAGAAGCAAAGCAGCATCCGAAGGGTTGTTTTCTATCAGGGCAACCAGGTCTATCTAAATATGGGACAGAGCATACTGCTTCCGCTAGCTGATGAGAACTAAATAGCTTGAAATAGATCTATACTAGTCTCCCTTTTGGTGGGACGCGGTGGCTCAGTGGCTAAGACGCTGAGCTTGTCGATTGAAAGATTGTCAGTTCAGCGGTTCGAATCCCTAGCACTGCATAATGGGATGTACTCCCGTGACTTGTCCCAGCTTCTGCCAACCTAGCAGTTCGAAAGCAGGTCAAAAGTGCAAGTAGAAAAATAGGGACCACCTTTGGTGGGAAGGGAACACTGTTCCATGCATCTTTGGCGTTGAGTCATGCCGGCCACATGACCACAGAGACGTCTTCGGACTGCGCTGGCTCTTCGGCTTTGAAACGGAGATGAGCACCAACCCCTAGAATCAGGAACGACTAGCACACATATGCCAGAGGAACCTTTACCTTTAGTCTCCCTTTATTTCTTTGTCAGTACATATAAATTCAACGTAACAATTAGTTTGTCGCAAAAGTGCCTGCCTGCGAAGGCTCCTGGATTGGGGCTGAAAGGCGAAAGCGGATGTACTGTGTTTCCCTGAAAATAAGACCCTGTCTTATATTTTTTTGAACCCCGAAATAAACGCTTGGCCTTATTTTCGGGGAGGTCTTATTATTTTGGGGCGCGTGGAGCAAGATGGGGCTCCTCTTGCTGTCTTACCTGATTTCCAGCTCTGCATTTAAATATTTTCGGGGAGGGCTTATTTTAGGGGGGAGGCTTATTTTAGTGCATGGGCTCAAAAGCTCGATTGGGCTTATTATCAGGGGATGTCTTATTTTCGGGGAAACAGGGTAGTATGCTCCGTCCCATACTTGGGTAGACCAGGTTGCCCTGATGGAAAAAAAAAACACTTAATCTCTCCCCTGGTATAGCCAACAAAGCGAGGAAAGCCCGTGGCTTAGAGGTTAATACATCTACCCTAATATGCAAGCAGCCCGGGTTCGAATCCCAGAAGAGTATGGCTAGCTGACGAGAGCTAAATAGCTTGAAATAGATCTATAACTAAGTCTTCCTTTATTTTTTTGTCAGTAAATATAAATTCAACATAAAACCAACAGCCAGTGCAGCTTGGTGTAACTTGGGCCACTCTACGGGGCCCCACCCAAAGCTGGACATCTCCCCAAGGTTTCCAACTTGCAGAAAGCATGCAGAAAGATTTCAGCATCCCCCAGCCCCTCCGATCTGCAGATTCAAACACCTAGAAAAAAGAAATATTATCCTCTGCATGAATGGATGGTTGTGGCCGTGCAGGCCCATCGCTGAACTCTTCCAACGCCCCTTAACCACTATCTGTGCGTCAAGATTTGCTCAGGAGGAGCTGGTGGGTGAGACGAAGTGATAAGTTGCCTGCAGCTGGAGATGACTTTCGTGGTGCGTGGTTCTTTTTCTCAGCAGCCTTCTGAAGCCTCCTTTGGCCCTCCCTGTTCTAAACAGGATGATGTTTTCTTCCGTGGAGATAATAAGTATGTGTGTGTATGTACTAGTTCTGCCGCATCTACTGTATTTCCCCGAAAATAAGACCCTGTCTTATATTTTTTGAACCCCGAAATAAGCGCTTGGCCTTATTTTCGGGGAGGTCTTATTATTTTGGGGCGCGTGGAGCAAGATGGGGCTCCTCTTGCCGTCTTACCTGATTTCCAGCTCTGTCTCCCTAACCCTAACCAGAGGAAATGGCGGGGACCAGCTGCACATATGGTTAAATATTTTCGGGGAGGGCTTATTATCCGGGAAGGGCTTATTTTTGGGAAAACACGGTAGAAATCGTTGGTTATCGGGTGCCATCAGTTAGGTGTTGGCATTCCTTTTAGGGCATTGCAGCCTTGGCAACACACACAGACAGAGGCTGCATGTTTATTAAGGCAAAAGTGCTGGTCTTCATCAAACATTCATCAAAGCCCCTCGCTTCCTATTTCACAGCCTCTGCGTGGCCCAGCTGCTCTCTGTCTTACCAAGAAGAGTGTGAAAAAATAAAAATAAAAACTGATGTCCTCAACCTTCAGCATGGCTTGCTTATCTCTGTTTAGCGGAGAGAGATTTGAGGGGGGGAGGGCTACTGTGTGCCCCATAGATGTGGGGAAACTCAAAGGGCTGAGACTGTTCAGCAAAAACGGAGGTTCCTGTAAGAGGTTAAGGAAAACATCTGTTTTGGGTTCCTACAGAGGAAAAAGGAAGCATGATTGGGAACAAATATAATATAAGGTCTTCTGGCTTGGGCAGGGGGTTGGACTAGAAGACCTCCAAGGTCCCTTCCAGCCCTGTGATTCTATTCTATTCTATTCTATTCTATCTTCTATGTTCTCTTCTCTTCTCTTCTATATTCTCTTCTATGTTCTCTTCTCTTCTATATTCTCTTCTCTTCTATATTCTCTTCTCTTTTCTTCTATCTTCTCTTTTCTATCTTCTCTTCTATGTTCTCTTCTGTTCTCTTCTATATTCTCTTCTATGTTCTCTTCTCTCTTCTCTTCTCTTCTATATTCTCTCCTCTTCTCTTCTATATTCTCTTCTCTTCTCTTCTATCTTATCTTCTCTTCTCTTCTCTGCGAGGTGGCGCAGTGGTTAGAGTGCAGTACTGCAGCTACTTCAGCTGACTGCTAGTTCAGCAGATCAGCGGATCAAATCTCACCGGCTCAAGGTTGACTCAGCCTTCCATCCTTCTGAGGTGGGTAAAATGAGGACCCAGATTGTTGGGGGCAATATGCTATTTAGTGTAAGCCGCCCAAAGTCCTCGGAGAGTGGGCGGCATAGAAATGTGAATAAAATAAAATAAATAAAAAATAAATAAAAATAAAAAATAAAATCTTCTAATTATCTTGAGTTATACTCAATTCATAATAACTTCATGAACTCATCCATGCGGCTCCCTTACAGGTAGTCTTCAATTTGTAAACACAACTGGGGGCCAGAACTTCCATTGCTAAGCAAGGTTTAATTGATTACATGAACTGCATCCAATTTTACAACATTTTTTTGGTTACAGTTGTTAAGCAAATTGCTGCAGGTTGTTAAGCAAATCCTGTGGTTGTCAGAAGCCAGCTGGGAATGTCAGAAACAGGGATCACGTGACCCCGGGATGCTGCAACCATCCTAAAGATGTGCCAGTTGCAAGTCATCCAAATTTTCATCACATGATCACGGAAATGCTTGGATGGTCATAAGTGCGAGGATTGGTTGTAAGTCCCCCCCCCCCTTTTCTCTTTTGCTGTTGTAACTTCAAATGGTCCCTAAATGAATGATTGTAAATCGAGGACTACCTGTGGTTGAAAATGTATCCTACCCCGATTTATAAAAACCCTGATCTGTCCTCAACTTTGCTTGAGATGCTGACTTTTCTGTTCGGTCCCAAACATCGCATTGGTGCAGAAGAAAACGCTTCCGAGATGGATCATAACTCATGATTCGAATGAATTTTTGGCGGCAAACGGCCTGGTGGCTCCGTTGCTGATTTTTTTTTCGCCCTCTCCTTTGACAGCTTGATCCCAAAAACACCGGTTTCGTTGGGGTGGAGACCTTTGCCAGCCTGGTCCACAGCCATGAACTCCCTCTGGATCCTGCAAAACTGGAGATGTTGGTGGCCTTGGCACAAAGCAACGATGAGGGTCAGATCTGCTATCAGGAGCTGGTAGATCTGGTCAGTGGCGTGAGTACCAGCAGCTGTACGGTGGCTGGATCAGAGTCTCTTGAGCATGGATGGCCTACGTTTTCCACTTCTGTAGACCGACATTTCTCAACCTCAGCAGCTGTACGATGTGTGGGCTTCAATTCTCAGAGTTGCCCACTGATCTTAAAGCTGCTAAGGTTGAGAAATGCTGTTTTAGGGGGTTTGCTTGCTTGCGGACATGTCATTACCTGACTATAGATCATCGGTGCCAGAACACTGCAAAACCTCTTTTCTAGCGCTGATGATGTTGCCTAGTTTGGTCAGGAAATGTCTGAGATATCAATCAAGATTGGATAGGAGCTGCTACTTGTGGAGGCAATTCTGGAGAAGTCGTATCCACAATTGGCCAAGAACAGGTGTTTCAGGACCTGGGAGAGCTCCCACAAGCCATGAGATTGGTTCATATGCTCCACTCTAGAAAACAGGTCAGCTAGAAAGAAAACTGGGACAGGTTGACATCTGAAGAAGCAGACTTTTCCTTTCTTCTCTTCCTGACCATTCAAACTACCAAGAGCCTTGGTAGTACAGTGGTCTAAGGCACCCTGTTATTAAGCTGGTTATTAAGACCAGCTGCCTGCAATTACTGCAGGTTCGAATCTCGCCAAGGCTCAAGGTCGACTCAGCCTTCCATCCTCTCTAAGGTAGGTAAATTGAGGACCCAGTTTGTGGGGGCAATAAGCTGACTTTGTATAAATATACAAAAGGATGAAGGCTATTGCTTAACACATTGTAAGCCGCCCTGAGTCTCCGGAGAAGGGCGGCATATAAATCAAATTAAAAAAAAACAAAAACAAAGATTGACCTTATTTATGGACAGTTGTAGAGGCAGCTTGTGTAGTGGTTAAGGTATTCATTTAAACTACGGATACCAGGCTTAATAGCAACTACCTGTGAGAGGGATCTTGGAGTCTTAGTGGACAAACAGTTAAATATGAGCCAACAGTGTGCACCGGCAGCCAAAAAAAGCCGATGCAATCCTAAATTGCATTAACAGAGGGATACAATCAAGATCAAGTGAGGTACTAATACCACTCTATAAAGCCTTAGTAAGACCACACCTAGAGTACTGCATCCAGTTTTGGTCACCACACTATAAAAAAAGATATTGAGACTCTAGAAAGAGTGCAGAGAAGAGCAACCAGGAAGATTAGGGGACTGGAGGCTAAAACATACGATGAACGGTTGCAGGAACTGGGCATGGCTGGTCTAGTGAAGAGAAGGACCAGGGGAGACAGGATAGCAGCCTTCCAATATTTGAGGGGCTGCCACAGAGAGGAGGAGGACAAGCTCTTTTCCAAAGCACTTGAAGGCCAGACAAGGAATAATGGATGGAAACTGATCAAGGAAAGATTCAACCTGGAAATAAGGAGAAATTTTCTGACAGTGAGAACAATCAACCAGTGGAACAGAAGTTGCCTTCGGAAGTTGTGGGAGCTTCATCCCTGGAGGCTTTCAAGAAGAGACTGGACTGCCATCTGTCAGAAATGGCGTAGGGTCTCCTGCTTGGGTGGGGGGGTTGGACTAGATGACCTACAAGACCCCTTCCAACTCTGTTAATCTGTCAGGTTTAGTTCACCTCTCAAATATAGAAATTCACAAAGGTTGACCCGTTGTTCTGTCAACCACCCATCCACATCACAGGGTGGCGATTTGTCAAAGAGACAACCTCCCCACCCCACCCCCCCATGAAAGGAACATGAGTGAGAAAAAGTGGCGTATAAATCTAACAAATAAGTTGAACCGTCATTTGCCGTTGCCCATTTGGCTTCAGAAACGGTGGTCCAGATTTCAAAGTGCAAGTTCATCCTTCACTCATATGCAGGGGGTGGGATTCAGCCAGTTCGGGCAAACTGGATGCTAATTTTATATCTGGTTTGCTGAACCTGTAGTTGCAAGGACTGGCTGGCCCCACCCACCCTGCCCCTCCCCTCCCAGGAGTCTCCACACGGCCCATTTTGGATGCAAGGTAAGTGCAGGGCCTGCGAGGAGGCTCTGGGAGGGCGAAAAACGGGCCTACCAGAAGTCCAGAAACAGGCCTGCTTCCGGCCTCTGGAGGGCCTTCGGAGCCCAGGGGAGGCTATTTCACCCTCCCGGAGGTTCGAGGTTTAAACTAACAGTCAAAGCTAAAGTGGCGTTAGATAAAAATGGAATTCACGGGAGGCAGGGCTTGGTTTCTCTTGTGGCAATGCAATGACTCCAAACGGATGACATGTTTAACCCCACCTTCTAGCTCAGCCTGATGTTCTCCTATACATATCCTGCCAGGGAGATATTTTTGGCTCAAAGGCAGGGTTGGGAATGGGGGGGGGGAAGGGGGTCTCTAGGAGGCAGTTCATGATGAAAAACACAGTGGTGATTTTCCTGCTGTTGGGGTCACTGTTTCTCCTTGCAGATCAGCAGCAAACGTTCCAGCAGCTTCAAGCGGGCCATCGCCAATGGACAGAGGGCCCTGCCTCAGGATGGCCTCCTGGATGAGACTGGGCTGGGCTTCTACAAACGCTTTGTGCGCTACGTGGCGTACGAGATCCTCCCGTGTGAGATGCACCGACGGTGGTACTTCTACCAGCACCGTGCCTGTCCTCCACCGGTCTTCATGGCTGTGGTCACACTCACCCAGGTGTGCAAAGGAGCCGCTTGCCAAGGGTCGGAGTGCACAGCACACTCGGGGGTGGGGGGGGGGAAGGGAAAGGAGTTCCTTAAAAGCAGACGTGTCGGTTCTCCAGTTCTTTGACTCGTAAATCTTGATTTCTAGGTCAGAAACATCTGCACAATCTGATGCTTTGGTCAAGGTGATGAAAGAGTGTGTGTGTGTGTGTGTGTGTGTGTGTGTGTGTGTGTTAGAATTTTTAAATATAGATAGTCTTCAACGTACGATCACAATTGGAGCCAGAATTTGCATTGCTAAGCAAGGCAGGAGAAGGGCATGATGGTTCAGCTATTAAGACCTTGATCTTGTCAACTGGAAAGCTGGTAGCCCGGGGTTCGAGACCCGAACACCATGCAATGGGGTGAGCTCCCGTCCTCACCCCAGCTCCTGCCCACTTAGCAGTTTGAAAGCACGCAAACGCAAATAGACAAATAGGTACCACTTTGCTCAGAAGATAACAACGTTCCGTGCACCTCAACATGCCGGCCACATGAGCACAGATGCATCTTCGGACAATACTGGCTCCCTTGGCTAAGAAAGAGAGATGAACATCATCTTCTAGAGTCGGATATAACTGGACAGGGGATACAGGGCAAGGCAACTGTTAAATGAGCTGCACCCGATTCTGCAACCTTTTTTTGCCACCCTTAAGTGCAGTTGCTAAGTGACTCACATGGTCATTAGGCAGATCTGGCTTCTCCCACTGACTTTTGCTTGCTGGTCTCCTTCTAGAACTGCCTCTTGGCCATAATCCAGAGATTTTGCAGCAAACCAAGATCTTAGAGTACAGCAATGCTAACAAGGCCTTCGGTCCAATGTGTGTTATGCCCCAGATATGGACCCCAAAGAACGCAGCACACACAAAGTCTGTACAAACCTTAGTTTTACTAAATTAAATAAGTTTTTTTTCCCAAACAAAGGCTGTTAATTAACTTTCTTAACAGCCTACAAGAATCCAAAGAATAAATAATCTTAATCTTACTATAGTTGGCAGAAAGCCCAGAAGCAATTTGCAAAGAACTAAGATCGAGGCACGAAGGAGAGTGAACGAAGTTGTTCCTTGCAAATTGCTTCAGTCGGCGTTCCTCCTTAAATAGGCTAAGGGAGTGGCCAATTAGCCCCAAGCCTTACTCTCGAGGAGACCTCCTCCTGAGGAGCCACTCCTGCCTTTTAACAGCTCTGCGCACCCGTGCATTGAGAAAAGGCTCCTCCTCTTCATCCTCTTCATTTAAAGGAGCTTCTGGAGGTTCTGAAGGCCCTGGCTGAATCCCCGCCTCTGGCACCACCTCTTCTCCAGCCTCCTCATTGTCCAACTCGAGTGCCAGCTGCACAGGCTGCTGGCGCAGCACCACACCAGCCTCCTCGCTGTCCGAATCAGCCACCAGCTGCATAGGCCGAGTATGGGCCACAACACTGTGCTTGAAGGACATCAATTTACAGAAGATCATTGTGGTAATTTTTTCTCCCCTCCTTTCTACTAGATCATTGTTTTCCTTTGCTATGGAGCACGGCTGAATAAGTGGGTGTTACAGACCTACCATCCAGAATACATGAAAAGCCCTTTGGTCTACCATCCTGGACATCGTGCCCGGGCCTGGAGGTTTCTCACATACATGTTCATGCATGTAGGGTAAGTGTCTACAATATCTTCTTCCAGCTCCTTTCCCGTTTATTAGTAAAGCGGGATTGGAGAGGAAGCTGGTTTGCCAGCCACACCAGGTTCCATCGCGCTGGTCTCTCGGAGGCCTCGAGAAACATCCACCTTGCGTTTCACCTTGTGTTACGGTTTGTGTTGTGTGACTTCATCCCGTTTCTGGGTGGAATTGGGTCAAAGCATCTGCAATCTAAATAGCGACCTGCTTTAGTTTTGAAGCTCCACAGGTCTGCAAGTTCAGGTCACTGATTATGTTATCTAATCTGGGTCATGAAACGTCTGCAAGAAAACAAACTCAGAGAGCACCAAGGACCCATCGTCATCCTCCTCCCTCCCCTCCTCCTAGCTCACTTCTAGCATTAATGATGTTACCTAGTTGAGTAATGAAATGTCTACAAGGAAACAAGCAAGCTCAGAAAGCACTGAGGACCCCACAGTCGTTGTCCTCCTCCTCTTCCTCCTTCTCCTCCTCCTCCTCCTTTCTCTTCCACTCCACAAAGCTTCTAGCATTGATGATATTACCTAGTTAGGTAATGAAACATCTACAAGAAAACAAGCAAGCTCAGAGAGCACCAAGGACCTCATATTCCTTCTCCTCCTCCTCCTCCTCCTCCTCCTCCTCCTCCTCCTCCTCCTCCTCCTCCCCCTCCTTTCTCTTCCACTCCACAAAGCCCACTGCCTTCTAGCACTGATGATGTTACCTAGCTTGGGTAACAAAACGTCTCCAAGAAGGTTAAGAGCCTTGGTTGCGCAGTGGAAGAGCCTTGGTGGCGCAGTGGACTAAAGCGCTGTTAAATAGCACTTAGCTGCCAGCTGCCTGCAATTACTGCAAGTTCAAATCTCACCAGGCTCAAGGTTGACTCAGCCTTCCACCCTTCCGAGGTAGGTAAAATGAGGACCCGGATTGTGGGGGCAATAAGCTGACTTTGTATAAAAAAGAACACCGCTTGGGGGGTGGGGCGAAAGCCCTACTAAGCAGGTATATACAAAAGTATGAAGGCTATTGCTTAAAAGCATTGTAAGATGCCCTGAGTCTCCAGAGAAGGGCGGCATATAAATCCAACCAAGAAAGAAAGAAAGAAAGAAAGAAAGAAAGAAAGAAAGAAAGAAAGAAAGAAAGAAAGAAAGAAAAAAAGAAAAGAAAGAAAGAAAGAAAGAAAGAAAGAAAGAAAGAAAGAAAGAAAGAAAGAAAGCCACCAAGCTCAGAGAGCACCAAGAACCCTTCATTTAACCCTGAGTTACAAATATCCTCCTTTATTAGTCCAGATCTTGCCACTCATCGCCAGGAGTGCAAAGCAAGTGTGTTTGGAACGGGTGCATGTACAAGCACTCAGATTATTTGCCCACCACTGATGTGGCTCCGTGTCCTGGAAACGGAGCTTTTGCTGGTAGTTGTATAGACTCACGTATAGTAACAGGCGGACGTGAATCTTCTCCGAGACCTGGTGGGCCAAATCCAGCACGATGGTGAAGTTTTAGCTGGCAGTTAAGATAGGATTGGCAGGAGGAAGGTTTTTTGTGTTATGTTTCACAACTCTATTTTCTCTTGCTAGGGAATTAGAGGCAATCTTTTTATATGTCATAATGTTGGAGAAGCGGATGTGGATTTTTATGACTTGCTGACGAGTGACATCTGGCCATGTTGCGACCAGCTGTTGAGTTTGTTTCTTGTGTATCTGTGATACCCTGCAATGTTTCTCTCTCTCTCTCTCTTCACTGTACAAAGCTCTTTATGTACATTTTTTCCCCATCCCAAAATAAAACAGATCTGTTGCTGGAGCTCTTGAAAGCAGCTCACTGGAACAGAATTGAATCCCCAGATTTTATTGCATCCTAATTTCTGTGCATGCTAGACAGAATGCTAGTCCTCGACTTACGGCTAGAATTGAGCCCAACATTTCCGTTGCTAAGCGAAAGACTTGCTAAATGAACCTGGTGTTTGGGTTAGGGTTTGTGTAACCAAACACTGGGTTCATATTATCACATGTGGTGGAGGTGCTCCAAAGCAAAAAAAAATATTGCAAGAAAATTCGGATATGGCTAGAAGCTATGATAAAACAACACATAGACTTTGAAACCTGAGATATTCCTGCTGGGCATGCTATCAGAAAAGTATAATAAGGGTAATATACATATTTAATTTTACATATTTTAACAGCAGCCAGGATTGTATATGCACAATAATGGAAAAAGGAACAAACCCCCACAGATGAGAATATAATCAAAAAAATAATGGAACGTGCAGAAAATGGATAGGTTAATGCTAAAAATTAAAGAAAAAGAAGATTCAGAATATTTTATGACATGGGAACTTTTTTATAGATGGTTACTTGATAGATACAGAGATAAATGGATGGATTTCTATGAAATATGGATTATTTGAGAAAGAAAAATTGACTAGTAAACATTTTGATGCATATAATTGATGTTAATATGGAAAACAGTATACCTGTACCTGTAATTCTCAATTGACAAACATTCATTTAGCAACCATTTGGAATTACGACGGAGCTGGGGAAAAAAAACGTTACTTACAACTGGTCCTCGCACTTACGACCGTTGCAGCATCCCCAGGGTCATGTGATCAAAATTTGAACCCTTGTCCACTGGTATGTAGTTATGACGGTGGCAGTATCCCGGGGGCACGTGTTTTGCCATTTGTGACCTTCCCAGTTGGCTTCGGACAAGCAAAGTAAAGGGGGGAAGCCAGATTCACTTAACAACCTCATGATTCGCTTAACAACCACAGCGATTCGCTTAGCGACCATAGCAAAAAAAGGCCATAAAACCGGGGGCAACTCGCTTAAGAAATTCCTTGCTCTGCAAGCGCAATTCTCAATTCCCAATGGCAGCTCGTAAATGGAAAACTTGTCTAGAGAAAAACAATTTTGTAATTCTGGGAACAACTTTCTTCATTAACTTGATTAGGCTGAGAATCCCACACTTCTATCTTCCTTTTAATAAGAATATTTAAAAAAAAAAAAAACCCGACTAGTTTTAAACGTCTTTCTTTCTTTCTTTCATTTTTTTAAAGGCAGCTAGTAGGGAATGTTGAAAAGAACAGATGTAAAGTTTACAAATTAAGTGGGTGGCAGACCAGAAATATCGTGGGAAGAGGAAGTTTGGCAGACAACAAATCTAACAGCTGGGCAAATGGCCAAATTTGATTATTTCATATAATTAAAAAAAAGAATTGTGCCTTTCCACCCCCTTATTTTTCTGTAGCTATTTTTGCCCAGTATATGTAGTGTATGAGTGAGTGGTGGGGTGGCCTAGAGACAGAGCTCTCACCTCGTAATCAGGAGGCTGTGAGTTCGATCCTAGGTAGAGGCAGATATTTCTCTCTCTGGGCACAATGAGAATATAACTGCTGGAAAAATAACCTCCTCATTGGTGACAGGAAGGGCATCTGGCCAGTAAACACTCAGCTCCATTCAGTTGCCCACATTCCACCCTGCAAAGGATTATGGGGTCGCTAAAAGAGGAGGAGGATGATATGTAGTGTATGAGTATGTGGGGGGAAAGGATTGATAAAATACTAAAAACAGCAGCATTTGATCCAAAGAGGCTGTTGGCAAAGGGATTCAAAGGCAGATTTGGGCAGGTTCTTTGGCAGTGATGAGGACTAGGAACCTGGCTTTTTAAAAAATGTTTAAAGATGTGGCCGATTTGGAATCTGCTTTTTATTTCTATGGAAGCAGGACGGAGGCTCTGGGGAGGCCTGCACCAAACTACAATCAAAGAATTGCAAATGTGAGACTTTCTTTTCTTGAAAGCTAGCAAGCAGTTTAACAGTCACAGAGTTGGAAGGGATCTCAGGGGTCATCTAGTCCAACCCTCTGCTCACACAGGAGACCTCTACTAGGGATTTGAACCGCCAAACTGCTGACTTTTCTGATCGACAAGCTCAGTGTCATAGCCACTGAGCCACCTAGCCAGCCACAGACCTGGGGGCAATTATTTCATGGGATAGGCAATTGGCATTTAAAGTAGAATTCAATAATTCAAGGGACTGGATGGAAGGTTTACCGGCAGTCAAATCAGAAGGACATCATGGTATGATCCAAAGATGATATACAAAGAGGTTAATATTTTGAGTTTCACCCTGTGTTTAAATTAAAGGCGTCATTCACTTCCATGGAGGTGGGATGGCTCAGCGGTTTAAAGACCCTGAGCTTGTCAGCTGGGAAAGCTGAGAGCCCGGGTTCGAGTCCCGAGCGCTGCACGATGGGGTGAGTTCCCGTTCTCACCCCAACTCCTGTCTACCTAGCAGTTAGAAAGCATGCAAACGCAAGTAGATTAATAGGTACCACTCTAGACAGCTGCAACTGGCAAAGTTCAAAGCGTGCAGGAAAACCGAGATGAAGTTTGCGGCTCTGAGAATTTCAGATGCATCATCTCAAGGTTCTAGTCCTCATGACAGGTAGCCCTTTTTTCTCTAAAGCACAGACGAAGTAGACCTTATGGAGGGTTGAACCTGTTTCCTCCCTTTCCAGGTTAGAACAGCTGGGGTTCAACGCGCTCCTGCAGCTGATGATCGGGGTACCCCTGGAGATGGTCCATGGTGTTCTTCGCATCAGCTTTCTCTACCTCGCAGGAGTCCTGGCAGGTGAGTCGAGAACCCCAGGTATTTAGGCAGGACACCCGTCTCTTTGTCTTCCAGCTCAGCTACCGAATTTGATTCATCTAAATATATAAAAGCGAAAACCACTCACACATTAATCACGAAATCTCCAGAACCATAAAGCCTACAAACTTGAAATTTGCCACGTATGTTCCTTTTGGCTTCTAGGTGCTCACTAAGAAAGGATTTTCCGAAATGACCATCAGGGCATTAGTATTTCCTGTATTATTATTAACACACTCTGATGCTAAGGAGTTCTATTCCCCCCTCCCCACCTCAAAAGAAATCGGTTCCAAATGCAAAACACAAGCAGAGGAGAGGAGTTTCACTTTCAGTTTTACTTTCACAGCAGGAAGCAGTTTTACTACAGAACAGTTGAGCTAACCCACGCCCAGCCTCCTTCCTGTCTCCTTCTTGCTCACACAGCAAATACTGTTTGAGTTTCTAAACACCCCTCAACTCTCTCACATACTGACAGGATGCTAGCCAGATGAATACCGATGGATGCTGCAGGCTGGGACATTCTACTCTCTCTTCCCCTCTGTTCCAACTGCCAGTTGCCTTATATTAACTCGCTCTTATGCTACTGAGTTACACGTTCTACATTAAGTTTCAGGCTGCAAGTGTCAATTTATCAAGCCCGAGCACATAGTTTCGTAGCAAAGCACGGGCGTCCAGCTAGTCTGTTATAAGAAGGGGTCAGCCACAGAGGGCCAGCCTTTTAGGGTTAAGCCATACATGCCGGGTTCGTTTTGAAAAACATGGATGCTTTTTTAAAAACATGTAGCACTCAGGAATCTGAGTGCTTTAAAGCAGTGGTCCCCAACCTTTTTATCGCCGCGGCCCGCTGAGCGTGCGCAGGGGTGGGGGCACGGCCCAGGAGCTTTTGCGCACGGCCCATTGCGCACGGCCCAGGAGCTTTTGCGCACGGCCCAGGAGCCTTTGCGCTGCAGCGTTCATGTCCCCCGGCCGCTGCGCGGCCCGGTGCCAGGTACTCCACGGCCCGGCACCGGTCCGCGGACCGGGGGTTGGGGACCACTGCTTTAAAGGATCACTATCTGATCCTTTAAAAAAAAAAAAAACCTCTAAAAAAACTGCTAAAGCAACTTTCCTAAACCTGATACCTACAAAGCAGGGGTGAAATCCAGCAGGTTCTGACAGGTTCTGGGGAACCGGCAGCAGAAATTTTGAGTAGTTCGGAGAACCAGCAAATACCACCTCTGGCTGGCCCCAGAGTGGGGTGGAAATGGGGATTTTGCAGTATCCTTCCTCTGGAGTGGGGAGGGAATGGAGATTTTGCAATATCCTTCCCCCAGGACTGGGGTGGAAATGGAGATTTTGCAATATCCTTCCCTCAGGTGTGGGGAGGGAATAGAGATTTTGCAGTATCCTTCCCCCAGGAGTGGGGAGGGAATGGGGATTTGGCAGTATCCTTCCCCTGCCACGCCCACCAAACCACACTATGCCCACAGAACCATAGTAAAAAAAAAATTGAATTTCACCACTACTACAAACGTGTTGGGATTACAGCACCCATAAACCACGACTACTCGAATCATTGAGAATTGGAAGGAGCCCAATCTCTGGAGAACTGAAACGGAGAGTTGGTGCATGATGGCCCTTTTTTTCCACTACAGTTCTTCCCGAACACTTTGTTTCTTCAAGAATTCCAGGGAGCCTGGACGGAAAAAAAAAATCAGATTTTACTGCTGTTAATTCAAGAAAAAAAAAGGGGGGGGAATGGGATTTTCACCAGGTGATGGACAAGCAGAAGCCTTTCAAGTAGGAAAGGAAGGTTTGTAGCTCAGCAACAGAGGGTTATTTTTAATGCAGGAAGCTGTAGTTTAATCCTTGGCACCGATGGACTACAAGGCCATCTCCTCTGTTTCTAAGAAATGGAGGGCTTCGTAAGGTAGACAAGGACGCATGTAGAACGTCTGCAGATGGGGAGTAGAAGAACAACAGAGTTCGAAGGGACCTTGGAGGTCTTCTAGTCCAACCCCCTTCCCAAGCAGGAGACCCTGAAGCATTTTGGACAAGTGGCTGTCCAATCTCTTCCTAAAAATCTCCAGTGATGGAGCACCCACAATAATGGCATTAAAAGGGTTGGAAGGGAGCAGGGGTCGGCTTCAAAAATTTTAGCAAGGGGTTCTCTGCCTGCTTGCTGGGTGGGTGTGGCCATGGTGGGCGTGGCCTAGTTGGCCTCCTGCAACACGTTGGGAGGTGCATTTTTGCCCTCCCCAGGCTCTGGAGGCTTTTCTTGAGCCTCTGGGAGGGTAAAAATGACTTCCCCAGGCTCCAGAGGCCCTCTGGAGGCTGGAAACGGGCCTGTTTCTGGCCTCCCCGAACTTCCGGTAGGCCTGTTTTTCACCCTCCCCAAGCATCCACGCGCACCCTACACTTATCTGTGTCCAAAACGGGGACGCGTGAGGACTCCTGGGAGGGGCGGGATGGGGCGGGTGGGGCCAGCCAGGAGTGGGATTTGGGGCTTCTCCGAACTGCACAGAATCTTAGCTAGAGGTTCTCCTGAACCCCTGCGAACCCCCAGCAGCCCACCCCTGCAAGAGAGGTCTTCTAATCTAACCCACTGACGAAGCAGGGGACCCTACACCCGTCATGGCAAATCTATGGCATGCGTGCCACAGGTGGCACACGGAACCATCTCTGCAGCAGTGGTGGGTTCCTCCCGGTTCGGCCCGGTTCGGCTGAGCCGGTAGTGGTGACGATATGATGTCACCGAACCGGTTCTGCCCACCCCCACCCCCGCCCCCCGCATTATTCTTACCTTTTATTTGGCCCCACCCCCAATCTATTGCTGCCTCCTGAGTCCCAGCTGATCAGCTAGAAGGAAAAAACTATTTAAACTCTTGCTGCGCTGATCAGTGATAAAAAGCAGTTTGGTGGTAGACCGATGCCTCCAAAAACAAATGAGTAGACCGGTGCCTGCAAAAATAAATGGGTAGATCGGTACAGCTCTGCAAGCAGTTAAAAGCCTGGTAGACCAGTACCTCTGCTAAATCCTAAATAATTGTCACATGACCATCAAGCCACGCCCACAAAATAAGCCACGCCCACATAACTGGTAGTAAAATATTTAGAACCCACCCCTGCTCTGCAGGCACGCAAGTTGTCATCCTAGGTCAGTTCCACTGCGCATGCGCACGCGCCTCCCGCCGGCCAGCTTATTTTTGGGTCTCTGCCACGTATGCAGGAGATGCATGTGCATGCGTGAGGGGGCGTGGGAGTCGTGCATGCATGCAGCACACACCCCACCCCACCCATGCCCCATTTTTGGTCCCAGGAGGCTTCAGGGAGGCCTGCTAGACCCAAAACGGGGTGTGGGGGGTCGTACCAACATGCACAGGGGAGCGTGGGGAGGGTCGCATGTGCAGGGGCGCACAGGGGGATTGCATTATGGGTGTGGGCACACGGTCATGCGTGCGCACACGCTTTTGGCACCCGAGGAAAAAAAGGTTAGCCATCACTGCCCTACACCATTCTGGACAAATCCAGAATCTTCCTAAAATGGATCCAGTTTCTTCCTAAAATCTTCCAGTAACGGAGCACCCACAATAAAGGAGTAACAGTGTGGGAAGGGACCTCAGAGGTCCTCTAATCCAACCCCCTGCTGAAGCAGAGACCCTGACCATTTCGGATAAAATGTTGTCCAATCTCTTCTTGAAAACCTCCAGTGATGGACCAGCGCCACAAAGTCTGGAGGCATTCCACTGTTTAATTGTTCTGTCAGGAAATTTCTCCTTAGCTCTAGGTTGGATCTCTCTCTAATGATCATCTACCCATGATTTCTTGTCCTGCCATCGGATGGTTTTGTTGTGGCTCCGTTACCTGAGCCTGTGTCATCGGCAGGAGAGGACTCCGAGAGTGAAGGAGAGGAGTTGGCAAGGCCTCCCTCTCCAGGACCCTCCTCTCTGGCAGTGCCTTCGGTGTCCGCCAAAGGGCAAGAGATAGGGCCGGGGCCAAGCACTTCCACGCAGCCACAGGTGGACAGTGATGAGAGTAATGAGTCTTGGCTGGATCCACGCCAGCGTCGCAGAGATAAGCGTGCGCAACAGAAGAAAAGGCGTGCCCGAGATTAGGCTGAGTCACTGGACCACACCCCACAAGGTATAAAAGGGAGCGTGGTGTCCAGTCAAACCTTGTGACGAACAAAGCTGAAAGCTTCCACGCCATTCTGCATTGCCGGACTTTTGCTATAGACTTTGCTGGATTATCTCTGGACTTGATTGACTCTGTAATTATTGAGCTGTTTCTTTTGATGTACCAGAAGCGGGGAGAAGTTATCTCTCCTCTTCGTAAGTAATAAACTCTTGGCAGGCAGCCACAAGGTTGTTGCCAAATTCTGTTATCATAAGGAAAAGGATTTTGCCGGCTGGTTTAGTCTTTAACTCTTGAACGTCCGTTGGTGTGTGTGCGTGTGGGACAGGGACAGAACAGGTTTGGAGAATAGAGCAGCCCTCTCAAATGGGGGAGGGGGGTGTCTAGATTTGGCAGTGTCCAGCCAAAATTAAGAGAAGATAGTTTGGCTTAAACAGAAGGTACTTTTGTTCCTCTTTTTCTCTCATCTCCCCGTCTTCCATTTCTTTGCAGGTTCACTGACCGTTTCCATCACCGACATGAGAGCCCCCCTGGTTGGAGGTTCGGGGGGCGTCTACGCCCTCTGCTCAGCTCACCTGGCCAACGTCGTCATGGTGAGAATTGGGCAAATCTCAGCCGTTCTTTGGAAATAGACGCTGCTGAATTTGCGTCGTCTGTTATTTCCTCGCCGATATTTTGAGGGCAAGTCGAAAGAGCGGAGGCAAAAATATTGCAGCGAGAAGGACTGTCCCATGGCCAAATCTGAAGCGGAGAATCTGAGGTGCCTTCCAAGCCAAGGGCGGTTATTTTGGCACCAGCATTCCAGGGCAGCAGCCAAGTTAAATCGGGAAAATAATATATAATCCCGCAGCTGTGACAGTTGAGAGTGTGGCAGAGTTATTTTCACAATTCATCGGGCCTGAGTTGGGGACTTGGGTGTGAGGCGCCTGAAACAGGCCAGTTTGCAGCTGCAGAGGGGAGAGGGCGGAAGGGGAAACTGAGTCACTGAGGCATCCTTTTCTTCTCTCTCCCTCCACAGAATTGGGCTGGGATGCGTTGTCCCTATAAACTCCTCCGTATGGTGCTGGCATTGGTGTGCAGTAAGTGTGTTTGCCTCCTTCGTTTTTTTTCCCTCATGCGCTTCTCCTCCATCTGACAGATTTATCAGCTTCACGGAACACGACAAACCATTGTTTATTATACAAACTACGGTCGGCTGGGTTTCTACAATCACATATCCTAATTTGCGAACTGCAAGCGTTCATGTGGAGACCGGTGGTCCTCCAGATACAGCTAGTTCTCGCTTAAAGAACAGTTAAAGACACAGATACGAGAGCCTCCCCACCCCCAACATGGGCGTTTATAACCTGATTTTGAAGTTCTGACAGCTGCACTTCCCCCCTGAAGTCCCAGGACTGCATTTGGGGCACTTGGCAACCGTCTCCCATTTACGGCCGTTTGTAGTGTCCTGCAGTCAGGCAGTCACAATTTTTGATACATATTGCAGGTTTCTACATTTACTTCTGGTTTCCAGCAAAAAAAAATGCCATTGGATAAATATATTCAGTCAGTCAGTCAGTCAGTCAGTCAGTCAGTCAGTCAATCGCTCAGTCAGTCAGTCATTTATCAGTCAGTCATTCAATCAGTAAGTAAGTCAATTAGTCAGTCATTCTTTCAGTCAGTCAGTCAGTCAGTCAGTCATTTATCAGTCAGTCATTCACACAGTCAGTCAGTCAATCACTCATTCATTCATTCATTCAGTTAGTCAGTCAGTCAGTCAGTCAGTCACTCAGTCATAAATCAGTCAGTCAGTCAGTCAATCACTCACTCACTCATTTATTCACTCATTTATTTACTCAGTCATTTACTCACTCACTCACTCATTCATTCAGTCATTCAATCAAACAGTCAGTCAATCAGTCAGTCAGTCACAGTCAATTTATTTGCCACTCATCTCACTGAGGGGCTTAACAACCGCCACATTTGCCTAATCACCGACATAAAAGAAGTTGTAAAATCAGCCGTGGTCACCTGGTAACCCGCTTAACAATTGCAATGACTTAACGACCGTAATTCCAGGCTTAATGACAGTCATAAATCGAGGACCACCTGCGCTGTTAAAGGACCTCTCTTAGCATCAAGGCCCTTTGTACCATTTATACCGTTTAGCTCTGCTGAGGCAGCAGAGATGTACCCTTCCTTGTGTAAATTCAACAACAACAACAATAGCAACAACGACAGCAACGTGGGGTTAGCAAGATGGGGGAACCAGAGATTCCGTTTCCATCAATGCTTCTCCTTTCGCTGTGCTTGAACATGGCGCTGAATGATCCAAGCCCTGCCTCCTTTTTACATACCTATCATCCACGACCGTTTTTGACCCCCATGGATACCCCTGCCTCCCTTGTTTCCTTCTTGTTTATTCCTTCCTTTCTTTTTTTTCCTTCCTTCCTTGGCTCCCTGACACGAAAGGCGACTGAGGCGGAGGTTTTGTGGCGAGAGATGCCGTGAGGACTAGAAACTTCCACCCACGTTCTCTCTTTTTCTCTCTCTCCGCTTCCCTGCAGTGAGTTCCGAAGTGGGCCGGGCCGTCTGGCTGCGTTTCTCCCCGCCGTTGCCCTCCGCCGGTCCCCAGCCCAGTTTCATGGCCCACTTGGCGGGGGCCATTGTGGGCATCAGTATGGGGCTGACCATCCTTCGCAGCTACGAGGAAAACCTGCAGGATCAGTGCGGGTGGTGGGTGGTGCTCCTCTCCTACGCCACCTTCCTGGTTTTTGCTGTCTTCTGGAACATCTTCGCCTACGACCTTCTGGGGACGCAGATCCCGCTGCCCCCGTAGCCCTCGGCCCGGCCCTGGTTCTCTTGGCATCTGGCTGACCCTGGAAGGGCTCTAAACCTTGCAGGGTTTCAAAATCGGGTGGGGGGGGAAAAGGGGCTGGGCTGACTGACACCCTCGAGAGGGGTGATCCGGAGCGTGCCACGCCTCGCCTGGCATGGCAGAGCACCGATCCCGTCGGATGCGGGAAAAGCAAAGCCAGGCTAGAAGCTGGCGGAGGCAGCAGGAAGGCTGGGAGGTGGGTTGGTGAGCTCAGGGTGGGTGGGCTCGGCATCCTCCGTGCCCCTGACCGCATCTGCAGAACGGGTGCTTGTCTCCCCGAGAAGAAACAAACAAACAAATCTTTCGGAGTGTGCACTGGGTTACTCTTTTCAAGGCATGAGGATCTATAGGGTTTGGAGGGGGAGGATGGAGGTTCCTGCCCCTACTATCATCTTGGCCATTTGAGGGAAGGAGGCTTTCCCAGCGAAGCCCAGGCTGTGTCCAGCCTTGGTGACCCGCTTCCGTGGCAAGGCTGTGCCTTCAGCTGATTCCCTGGGGTGATGGTTATTGGGCTGAATTGTTTCCTTTGCCTTCTCCTCTCCTTCCCATTCGCCTTGTCTCTTCTCCTCTTTCCCCTGTCCTCCTCTTCTCCTCCTCCTCTTCCTCCTTCTTCCTTTTCTGATTCTACAGTCCTCCTTGTCTCCCTTCTCTTCTTCCTCCTCCTTTTTCGTCTCTTAGTCTCCCTTCTCCTGTCCTCTTCCTCTTCCTCCCCATCTCTCTCTTTCTCCTTGTCTTCTTTCTTCTACTGCTTTTTCTTCTCCTTGTCTCTCTTCTCCTGTCCTCTTCCTCCTCATCCTCTCTTTCTCCTTGACTTCTTTCTTCTCCTCCTTTTCCTTCTCCTTGTCTCTCTTCTTCTGTTCTCTTCCTCCTCATCTCTCTCTTTCTCCTTGTCTTCTTTCTTCTTCTCCTTTTTCTTCTCCTTGTCTCTCTTCTCCTGTCCTCTTCTTCCTCATCTCTCTCTTTCTCCTTGTCTTCTTTCTTCTCCTTCTTTTTCTTCTCCTGGTCTCCCTTCTTCTGTCCTCTTCCTCCTCATCTCTCACTTCCTCCTTGTCTTCTTTCTTTTCCTCCTTTTTCTTCTCCTTGTCTCTCTTCTCCTTGTCTCTCTTCTTCTGTCCTCTTCCTCCTCACCTCTCTCCTCCTTGTCTCCCTTCTCTTCTGTCCTCTTCCTCCTTCTCCTTCTCCCTTCCCTTCTTGATCAAAGTCTCAGCTTGGGCTCTCCAGATCTCTAAGGAGAACTGAGAGGAACCCCTGTCTGCAACCCTAACTCAGAAATCATGGGTCAACACATGGTATCCAATATTTCCAAGCTTGTTCCATAGCTTGATTTAGCATGAGGACACTTCTGGGATTAGCTCATGGTCTCCACAGTTCTGGCTCTAAAGTGGCTTCTCCAATGGGCATCTCATCTGTTGAAAGGCCTCCGGTTCCGGTCCTTGCCCCACCCAACCTCATCATGCCCTTGTCCCCCCCCCTGCAAATCTCACCATGGAGGCCATCAGCAAACCATCTGTACGATCCTGACGGAATCGTGACCGAGCAATTGTTCCCGTGCAGGCTAAGAGTTTGGCTGGTGTCGCCTGCTTTCACAATCAGGGTTTAGTCACATCAGGGATAGCCAATTTCTAGATTTTTTTTCCCCACCAGGGGGGATGATGGATGTTGTGTGTGTGTATAGATGGGGCGGGCGATAATTCTCCGAGCAGTTGGAAAGGAGCGTGTCTAAAGTGTTATTTATATTTATTTATTTATTTTCCCCTATGAATTCTCCCCTTATTGACAATCTGGCTTTAAAAAAAAAATGAAAGAAAGCACAAGCACTTTGTTGGCGGTGGATGGAGAGGCTCAAGTGGCTAAGACGCTGAGCTTGTCGTGGCAGTTCGGCGGTTCGAATCCCTAGTACAGGTCTCCTGCCTGAGCAGGGGGTTGGACTAGATGACCTCCAAAGTCCCTTCCAACTCTGTTACTGTTATAGAGCTAAGGAGTTTGGCTTGAACCTAAAGACCGGCCTCCTTCCAAGCCCTCCCAAATGATTCCAATCTCCTGATTTTCGGAGCATAACAGGGTTAAGGCCGCACTCTCTCTCCCCCAGTGGCCACTTTCTCCTTGACGTTCAGGATTCTAGCAATGCTGCGGGCAGGGTCGGTCCTGCAGTGATATCGGCAGCACTTGTAACTTTCTCCCTGGATGGAAACGCCATTTTTTTTTTCAGCCATGATATGCAGGGTTTGTCCGTGGAGGGAGGCGCAGTGGCTGGAAACTGCTAAAAAAAACCATCTCCAAGCCAGCAAGTTAAAACTCCGTGACCCAACTAACCTTTGCAACGATCCACGGAATGTTTTAATTCACACTCTGGTTTCAAACCCAATTTGGGTACTTCTGCCCCCCCCCTTGGGGCAGTGCAAAAACCAGGAATAAGACAGAGGCCAGTGGCTGGCAGATGTTTCTCTGTGTCGTCCTCCCTCTTTGCTCTTTCTTCTCACAGCTGGCTCGGTCTGATGGAGAAGTAGACACGGGTGAGCGGTTGGTGGAAGAAATGGAGGGGAAGGGAAGGGCCCTGGGGGGGGGGAAGGGGAGGGGAGGGGGTTGGAAAGGGAGACGTTGTTAAAAAAGCAATGCACTAATCCAGATTTTAAAAAAAATGTGACTGGGGGGTGGTGGAGAGGAAGATGTATGTACGAATAAATATTTTGCACACCATCTGCCTGTTTGTTTTCTTGTCACTCCTAAATTTCCAAAGCTGGCTAAACGGATGGGTTACTCACAGTTAAAAGGCAGCAGATGGTTCCGAAACACGTTTCTTCTTCCAAAAAAAAAGTGATGGGGAAATTAGATAAACATCTCTTCCGAAGCATCCAGAACCAATGGTGGTTGGTTTTTCAATACCTGTTGTGACCCAGGCCCAAGTAGTGAGTATTAAATACAAACAGTTCGAAAACAAAGAGACTTTATTAGAACAGCTGTGAATGAACTCATTCTCAGCGTAGTCCAAACGAAATGAAAGCAAATTTTTCAAAACACCGTTCCTCAGTTTATCACCGACCTTGGGCTAATTAGGCAAACTGCCAAAGGCTTTTCTTGGCGAAAGTTCAAGAAGCAGAAGAAATGAATACAGTGAAACAAGAAGCAATTCTCTCAACGTTGTTTTCCGGCAAAGAGCCCAAGAGCCATTGCTGGTCTTTTAAGCCTTATGGGAGGGGCCAATCATATCTTGGCCCTACTCCCGAGTCGTCCTCTCTGCTTTATCTGCTCCTGCCTTCTGGCAGCTCTTCTCATACGTGCACTAGGAACAGGCTCCTCCTGTTCCTCCGCCTCTCTGCTGTCCACCTCTGGAGGCTCCGGAGTCCGTGCATTGCTCCCTGATGGCCCTGGCCCCATCTCTGCCTCCGACACAGAGCCCTCATCTGGGCCTTCCCCAGCCTCCAGGACTGGCCCCTGTTCTTCCTCAGCCTCATCGCTGTCCGACTCCGCTGCCAGCTCTGCAGGCTGCTGGCGGACCACAACAATACCACTGAACTTGATTTTTGTTTAATTTGTCCCTTTTCTGCCTTTGCAGAATACCCTAGATCTGTGTCTCTCAATCTTAGCAACGTTAAGACATCTCCCCGAATTCCCCAGCCAACTTTAAGAGGGGTGGACTTCAACTCCCATAATTCCCAAATTAGCTTTAAGATGGGTGGACTTCAACTCCCAGAATTCCCCAGCCAGCTTTAAGATGGGTGGACTTCAACTCCCAGAATTCCCAAATTAGCTTTAGGATGGGTGGACTTCAATTCCCAGAATTCTCCAGCCAACTTTAAGATGGTCGGACTTCAGCTCCCATAATGCTGGGGAATTCTGGGAGTTGGTCCACACATGTCAAGTTGGAGAAACGTCCTCTCGACTTTGACAAGCTGGCATCAACCACCATGGTGCAGCAAGAGGAGGTGCCAACCTAGTTAAAACTCTGCAAACCCGCTTCTAAACTGGGATTGAAAAGTAGGGATTGAAGACGATGGGTATTGGAATACCCCAACAGGAGCCTGCATGCTGCAAATGACAAAGGCATCTGAAAAACAAGCAAAAACATTGCGTTGTGCCAGTGTGGTTGCGTTGATTGTGTGGGAGGACAGCCATGCATGCTTGTGCATATTCACACACCCTGCCTGCCTTCCTCTCAAGATGTGCAGTCTCAAATTAGAGCTTATTTTTGTGTTGTTGTAGGCGGTTGTAGTAAGATAAGGGGGCAGTAAGACAATGCAGGTTTCAAGAGATTCTTAGTGACTGATAGAAACTGCACAAGGCTGGACTTCCCTCAACGCCCACAAAATATCTATCTATCTGTAGAGGTCAAAGGTGTTTGGATCCAGCAGTTTGTGCCACATTAATGGTGATGAGACCTTTAACAGGGGAAACAGTGGGAAAAGGAACAGCCCATTCCTTAACCACCCTATTAAGAAGGTTGAAGCCAAATTATCATTATTTCATAGTACAGAACAATGGAAAGACACTACCAAGACTGCAAGCCTCTCATCATATAATGTTTTTAATCACTCGGGCAAGCCAAGAAAGAAAAGAAAAGAAAAAAAAGAGAGAAGAGAAGAAAGAAAGAGAAGAGGAAAGGAGAAGGGAAGGGAGAGGGGAGGAGAGGAGGGAAGAAGAGAAGAGAAGAGAAGAGAAGAGAAGAGAAGAGAAGAGAAGAGAAGAGAAGAGAAGAAGGAACACAAGGGAGGGAAGAAGGGAAGAAGGAAGGAATCAGAGGTGAAATTCAGCAAGTTCTGACAGGTTCTGGAGAACTGGTAGCGGAAATTTTAAGTAGTTTGGAGAACTGGCATATACCACCTCTGGCTGGCCCCAGAGTGGGGTGGGAATGGAGATTTTGCAATATTGTTCCCCCCCAGAGTGGGGTGGGAATGGAGATTTTGCAGTATCCTTCCCCCAGGACTGGGGAGGGAATGGGGATTTTGCAGTGTCCTTCCCCCAGGAGTGGGGGAGGGAATAGGGATTTTACAGTATCCTTCCCCTGGAGTGGGGAGGGAATGGGGATTTTGCAGTATACTTCCCCATGGAGTGGGGAGGGAATGGGGATTTTGCCGTATCCTTCCCCCAGGAGTGGGGAGGGAATGGGGATTTTGCAGTATCCTTCCCCCAGGAATGGGGAGGGAATGGGGATTTTGCAGTAGCCTTCCCCTCAAGTGGGGAGGGAATGGGGATTTTGCAGTAGCCTTCCCCTGCCACGCCCACCAAACCACACCCTCCAAGCCACACCATGCCCACCAAGCCACCACCACAGAACCAGTAGTAAAAAAAATTGAATTACACCACTGGAAGGAATAATACAAAGAAGTGGGGAAAGGGAGAGAGGGGTGGGGGGAGGAAGGAAGGAAGGAAGGAATCTCCTGTTTGATCAGTGGGTTGGACTAGAAGACCTCAAAAACCCCTTCCAACTCTGTTATACTGTTACTATTACTGAAAGCTAGTTTCTCAAAATCTCCCAGCCCATATTGCAATCACCTATCTTCCCACCAAAACCAACATTTCCCCCAGATGCTCCGAGAACTCGAAAACCTGATCTTCAATACATAGAAATGTTTCGTTCCTTTCCGTCTTTTGCTGGCTTCCCGCTGCTTCCTCATCACTCAAACGTGGCCAGTATCAGCCCTGTTTATTTTCAGCTGCTATTCCTCCTTTCCCTCCCTCTCCTTTAGAAAATTAGTCAACGATTCTGTTTTTGAAGGGCTTAAAATATAGCCGAATGGTTTGCAAGTCCTTTTTTTTTCTTTCTTTCATTTTTTTCCCCTTCAAATTGCAGCTGGGCAGAAATACAACCGACATATTTTTAACTTCTGAAGCTGTTTTTTTTTTATTACATAAAAAATAAGAAAAGACAGAAGGTGGCCTTGAAAAAGCAGATGATGATGACCTACCCTTCCTGAAAACCCTTATTTCTGCTTCTTAGTACTTTTCTCCGCCACCGTCATCCAAGAGAGGATTTCATGAGCGTCTCCTGAGATGTTCTGCAGGAGTGGGGGGTGGGGGCAATCTTGCAGAAACGGAAAATGGATAAGTTTGGAAGCTGGAGAGCACTTCATGTTTGATGTATTCCGTTTCCAGGTACTTTTAAGAGGCATCAATCAGGCAAATCTGACGTGGCTCGAAACTCAAACCGAATATGTGTAAAGGTAAAGGTTCTCCTCACATATATGTGCTAGTCGTTCCCGGATCTAGGGGGCGGTGCTCATCTCCGTTTCAAAGCCAAAGAGCCAGCCCTGTCCGAAGACGTCTCTGTGGTCATGTGGCCGGCATGACTAAACGCCAAAGGCACATGGAACGCTGTTCCCTTCCCACCAAAGGTGGTCCCTATTTTTCTACTTGCATTTTTGACGTGCTTTCGAACTGCTTAGGTTGGGAGAAGCTGGGACAAATAACAGGAGCTCACCCCGTTACGCGGCGCTAGGGATTCGAACCGCTGAACTGCCGACCTTGGAATCCATGTAGCCAACATCAAAACTCTTCTGGTGTCAATGAAGCCTAATTCAATCAGAACTTCATCTTGGTTAGAACCGCAATAAACTCTGCTCTGCATGTTCAAGGTAACTACTCAAGGTAGCTCGGGATGACACCTTAGTTTGTCTTTCATCCCCATGAAATACATCTTGATTTAAGAGCCGTGATGGCGTAGTTCGATCCTCACCAGCTGAAGAGTGACTCAGCCTTCCATCCTTCTGAGGTCGGTGGATCGGTGGCTAAGACGCTGAGCTTGTTGATTGAAAGGTCGTCAGTTCAGCGGTTCGAATCCCTAGTGCCGCTTAACGGGGTGAGCTCCCATTACTTGTCCCAGCTTCTGCCAACCTAGCAGTTCGAAAGCAGGTAAAAAATGCAAGTAGAAAAATAGGGACCAGCTTTGGTGGGAAGGTACAGCGTTCCGTACGCCTTTGGCGTTGAGTCATGCCGGCCACATGACCACAGAGACGTCTTCGGACAGCGCTGGCTCTTCGGCTTTGAAATGGAGATGAGCACTGCTCCCTAGAGTCGGGAACGAATAGCACATATGTGCGAAGGGAACCTTTACCTTTTTAATTGTACTGTATTATGAATAACAACAACAAAAGTAACGATAATGGATAGTCTCATCAACCCTTGGGTGGTCAATATTGACCACTTGCGTCATCCTGTGAGATGACTTAGCTGCTTTAAAGAGGTGCAGGAAGGACTGTGTTCAGGCCCCTGTGTCTGCTGAGAACTGATAGCATCGGTCTTGTTGATGCAATTAATGTATCCATGAAATGGTCACTTTATTCAGCTTATTAAAGTGATTATTCTATGGGAAGGAGGGCAATTGGTTCCAGCTTGATGGAAATAGACAGCTCCATGGTAGGCGATCTCACGGAGTGGTGCGGTGGCCTACAGGTGGAGCTCTCGCCTCACAATTAGGAGGCTGTGAGTTCGATCCTAGGTAGAGGCAGATATTTCTCTCTCTGGGAACACTGAGAATATATATATCTACTGAACAAAACTCTGCACTGGCGACAGGAAGGGCATCCGGCCTGTTAAAACAGTCTGCTAGCTCCATTCAGT